GTAAATTTTAACACAACGGCAAATGGGTGAAACGTTCAAATTTGTTCCGTCGGATAGATGCCAAAAATGCGCTCGTATTATTTTCCTTTAAGAACAATGGTTCATATCACACAGCTATTATCGCTCGAATTTACTTAGCGCTTTATATTTGATACGTAATGTCCACGTCTAATTTTAATTTCAACACTACGTGGATGATTTCCTAGCACAATACGCTTGACAAATTTTTAACTAAGATTCCGCGATTTACTTTTTCTCTTCGGGCGTGAAATTTACCCAATGGAAATTTCACGTTTTAACTAATGGTGCAAAACTGTACTTAAACTCGGACTAATATCGACCGTCACTTAAACGGAATCACTTATTTGGTGCTTAATGCACGCGATTGAAAATTTACGATCTCTTCGGCCCGGCTATGCAGTACCAATCTTTTTTTAAAAATTTTTTCCTCTTAACTCTCTCCTAACAGATTCACGCCCCTTAATCGTTGCAAAATGGCTGATCTTTTTTATTACTGGTACTTCTCATACAATGGCCTCCATCTAAACCAATTAACTGGGGAATACTTATCAACTAATTTTTTCAGCGTTTGCAGAACCAGCTTTCCCAAGCTTGGCTGGTGACTCAATGATAAAAAACTTATCTAAAGAAATCCGATATTTATTCGTTATCTGCATCCTGTTTTGCACTGAGAATTTTCTGTGATCCCATTTATTGCGAATCGCGGCACAAGGAAGTTTAATACAATGAACCCAACATGATGTCATACTACAATAGTTACAAAGCGAAAAAAGTTTTATCCCCAAAAGGAAGAAAGGTTTATCCAATTTTAGTACAAATCCAAATCGATATCCGAAAAATTTGCAAAATTTCGACCGGCCATTACTTCACCCGTTACAGTAGCTCGAAACAATTTTTCACACGGCTGTGAACTCCATAACCATGGTTGGAAAAGGTGTGGTTCTGAGTAAAATTTTTGACAGGCCAGAATTAAAGCATGAGCATTTAGTTCAATGCAAGAATATGCGTTTAAGGTTATGAAATTGGTAGATAAATTTAGTGCTGAATGTGATCTGATAAAATGTCTCCATAGTCGCAAAAAGTTAACCGCATACCACATATAATAAATTCTATCGCAAACCTTCAAAGACTTTTCCAAAAATGAATCCAGTACGTATCTGATAACTTTTAAAAAGGCTACTGTTGCTTGGCTTTCTGCCACATATTTTGCTAGACACTCTTGAACTCTGGCATGTGATATTTTCTCCACCGACTCAAAATTCATGTTATCAGTTCCAGACAAATGGGTTTCACATAAGAGGTGTTGATCTTTTGATACAGTTTCTATTAAAGTTGCCAGATGGTCTTTTGATGCTATGTAGTTGCCAATAGTAAGGTTAATTTTTTTATTTAAAAAACAGTTTCTTAACTTGGTTCCTATATGAACAGTATCCTGAATATATAAAGGGTCAGTACTGTTTAATTTTGTTTGGAACCATGGAAAGTTGAGATTAATTTTGGGTATTTCAGTTCTAAATTTCATTGCTTTTAATAACCGTGTGTCACCATCCGACGAAAAACCGCATATTTCTATCCCGTTTTCAAGACAAACTTCAGTGATGTGTTTCCATCTATTGACTACTTCTTGACTCGTGAATCTATTATCAGTACTAAAGGCACACAAGCAAAAAGGGGGAGCATTAAATGCAAGTGGTTGAACTGTAATTATGTATGCATATTTTGATATACTACCGTTTTTAAAAGCATTAAATATATTTTGCGCAGTATCTGCTTTCCAGATTCCTTTTGGAATGCCGGATTTTTCGCATAATGGCAAGGTGAACCCGACCAAAACATTTTGATGTGCATTGTATTCAATTTTTCCTGATATTGCTGTCCCATCTTCCGATACCCATACCTTGCAAGGGTACTTATTTCTCAGTAAAAATTCTTTCAATTGGAATACTAATAACTTCCCTTCTTCGTGACTGATGTTAGTGTACAATTCTCTATGAACAGTTGTTACAGATGGTAGCGATCCGGCCAAATTTTTGGAAAGCACTTCATACAATAGCTTACCCCCAATCAAATAAATATATGTAGAAAATAGCTTCACAGTTGTATTGTACCTTTTTCCTTGATGTTTTTCATTGCAGTTTTTCCGATTATTGTATGCATTTTCTAACAATATTTTCATCAAATTACTAACATTTTTTAATTGTATATTTGAGGACATTTTTTCGCTAGGTTGTTTATAACTTAGTTGCTGGTAGATATTATCACAAGCTGCCAAAATGTTTGGATTTTCTTCGGATAGGATGCTACTAATCTTATCAAGCAACGGAAAGAAGTCTGTAATACTGGTATTATTGGTAGAAGACTCTCTCTTCCTCCGATTTCGTTCAACTCTTTGATATTTTAATTGTTTCCATTTCCCAAATGTAACTGATGGCCTCGCTGATGGCTTAATGTTCGATTGTACGTTATCTTTTATTGTAGGCAACTGGGTAGAAATATTTGACCGGGGAACACAAATCGTATCAACGGATGTGTCCCCGGTTACAGAAAATCCTGTTGAGGTTCTCCCACTCCTTCAACTTGTTCAACCACCTCTTGTAGAATAATGGTAACATCATCGCTTTCGCCATCGCCATTTGCATCTGCCGGTAGAGTGTCTGCTTGTACATTTTCTTTTTGCTTTGATCTTTGATAGTTGTAAACTTCAGCCCTCGCTTCAGCCTCGACTTCAGCGGATGTACCAGGTTTAAAAGAAGTAGCCTCGGAAGTAGCTGATTCCGATTCGTTGTACTTGTTGAAATATTGGTGCAGAGTATTGAATCGCTGTTTCTTAGATTTGCTGTCATAGTGATTCCTAATATGCTTGAAAAAATTTGACAAGGTCCAGTAAGTCTTATTTTCCTTTATGGCATTCACAATTTTTATATCGGCTTTACAAAAGCTGCACGTCAGGTAAGCTATAGCGCAATTAACAGCACTTTGAGGAGTGGTATATACACGGATATTATAATCAATCTTTGAATCCAAATGACTAGAAATAATTTCTTTAATAGAGTCCTTGTTTGGAGGTAAGTTTTCTTTATATGATACCAACCATTTTAAACACATTTGTCTAATTTTTGTTTTTTCTTCTTTTTCATTTATTGTCTCGTTTGAGGAAGGTAGAGATAAAGGTGTTTGCGATTTTGAATTATCTGCACCACCTTCGGGGATATCATCTGGGCGAGCATCTGGGGTATCTAGTATTTTTGAGATTGTCTGCTTTTGACGTTTTGACTTAGGTTTTTGAACAGAATTTTTTTCAGAGTTTTTTGATGTATAGTAGTTAATCAGTTTAATAAGAAGTTTTTTATGTCCATCAACAATTTGAAAATTTTTAATGTTAGCGTAAAATATTCCAAAATATTTTTTTTTCTCCTCACTACTACAATTTTCCGGGAGTATCAAAGGCAGCACTGTTAAAGCAAAGTTTTCTAGCTTGGGAATATCGTCCTCAGCAAAAGCAGATATCGAAATTTCGTTATCAAACCCGAAAGCAGTCATTAGGTTTTTAAGATAGGGAGGGAAAATGATATTGGTTGTTTTTTCAATGTTTTGCCATATGCTGGTATCTCGGCTGGTATCTATATCCGACTCCATAACTAACGCGTGATTGTCAACAACACTGCAATATAAGAAACTGAATTAGATTTAAAACAATTTGATGAATCTCAATGATTGGCTTAAAAATCCACTTCAATTACTTTTTCCACAAGAATGTGGCAAAATTTGATAGCTTTGGACTAAGAAGGCGAATATTCGAGCGAATATTTAATTAAAAAAATGTTAAAAGGTTAAAAAGGTACGTAGGTAAGGAAATTTTCTGGCGCGCGCAATCAGAAGAGTCAAAATAGTTCGTTTCGCATTAAAAACTCGATAATATTAATAAAACAAACCGGAGGTCTCTATAAACTACATTTTTCTCCAAAATATTTGCTAAAAACATTGCTTTTGAAAAATAACTAAAAATGATATCCACATAGGTCGGTTTTAGATAAGTTATAACAATAACATAATATGCATTGCGCCAAAAAGCATAATCGTTGAGCGGTGATCTCAACGTAGGTATTATATTCAACGAAATATTTAATAAACAAATGTGCACGGTATGAAAGAAATGATTCATTCCGAAATACTTTATTATAGAACTATTTACGAGGGCATTTAGTAAAGAGTATATTGTTCCTTACCTTTCTATAAATAGATGTATCACATTACACTATTCACTGGCCACTAAAATCGACGAAAATATACTTGGTTTAACGTTAGCAATGTGCAAAGAACTGCAAAGTATAACGTACAGACTTCGATGTGCGTCAGCATTCAGCATTACCACCTCACACCTACTTCGTATGGCGATTTAAATCGAAACAATATTCGTTTTTGTAAATAATGAAACCGTTAATGAAAAATATTTATAACCGTAATAAGAAAAAATGAGGAAATGAAAAATAAATGAAGAGAATTAATAGAATGAACAGATTGAAAGTAATGAAACTGATAATGATAATATTGAAAGATTGAAAATGGAATGAAACTGGAATGAAAAATTCATGTACACCAAATTGAAAGAGTGGTTTCCCCCTCGGAAACCACCAAATAAACCAAAATATTTATTTACATACCACACACATAAAAATCTGTTCTCTGTTTAAACTGATAGATGTATTTGATTTGGTAATCTTAAACAAAGGAAAATCATACTTCTTTTAAGAATAATTTCTTAAAACAAATGTTAACAAGTAATTGACGTTACACTAAGTAAGTTTTAAATCATACATTTGAGCGGAATATAAATCATTTAATTTAAGTATACTTGTGCACTTGCTTTAAATACGGGAGTCGTATTGCAGGTAATATTGTAAGATATCAGTATGAATTTAGCGTACACTTATTTAAAGGAAAAGAAGCGGTGCAATATTTATTTTAAGAATGATGAATAAGAAAGTATTTGAATTAAGCTTAAAGAGCATGATACACTTAATTCAAGCTTATATGGCGAAAGTTTAACCACTACGCACAGTTAGTTCTCATTTCCATTTGCCTTTCTTGCCAGTGTTTATTTTGAAAACATGGATGACGATGTGCAAACGATATTAAAGTCTTGGGGATGTACGGAAGAAGTAATCAAAGTATTTGTGGGTAAGTAAAAATTACGTATTTGTAATTGTAAATGTACTGCTTATCTATCCAACAAAATAAGGGATTTTGTTTTACGTGTGATTTAATTAGTTGAATTACTACATAGGTCATTTTTATCTTACGCAATGTGCGCGATATAACAAAAAGAATGCTGACGTACAAAGATTCCTGTGTTTTATATCAGTAACCAAAACACCTAGAAAAAACAGACGACTAGACTTAAAGTTATCGAGTTCTCCCTTTCTGATTTCGTAAATATGTGTTTTGCTGGTTGCAGATTCGTTATCATTTCATTATTCTTTCCCTAAAATAAATTTATTAATTTGAACTGTTATCATGGAATTGCAAATTTATAGTTTTTAGCGCATTTTTGGAAAAAGCGGTTATAGTCTCACTTTGTCCGGCTGGTGATCTCACTCTGGCGGCTGGCGCGAGTTCGTAATTTTCGTCTTTCGCATTTTTTTGTTTCTATGTCTTCAAATACCCGAGTTTTTAGCGCATTTTTGGAAAAAGTGCAGCTTATAGTCTCACTTTGGCTGTGTGTCTGCTGGCAATCTTTGAGATCTCGAAAACTACAATATATAGAGATTTCCGGTTTTTTGCGTTAGCTTTGTGCTTAAAAGTTATGTGCCCGCCGGGTGTTTATATTGTTGTAATCGGTAATGTCACTGATCTACACACCAAAAATGCGCTTAAGTCATGCGGCTACCCGCAGACTTTTTTAATATGTTTTAACTATATTTGTAGATCAAGATATATGTTTTGAGGTTCTAAAAGACCTTACCATTGGAGATTTGAAGGAACTTATCCCCAATTCTCTGGGCATGAGAAAGTTGATCGAGGGGAAGTTATTGAAAATGAAAAATGAGGTATTAGGTTATCTAAGAGCATCTATATTGTTTTCTATCCAACTGTTTCTTAGGACAAAGAAAACCAACCTGTAAACGGAGATGATCAAAACACAGCTAATGCTTCTACAGTTACTATAAATGTAGACACTAACATGTCCGACACGAATACCGCTGATGATATTCAAATTTTAGACTTAAACACGTTTTTTACAGAAGTGCAAAGTTTTGCTGATTTTGATTTGTACACTCTGTTGCAAACAAGTCCCATGGGGAACAGTGTGGTAACATACTATCAAACACAAAAACAGCTAGATAACAAAAGACGAACGAGACTTGTTGATATAATCATAAAATACTTATATACTTATATAATAAGAAAGTGAGTTTCCGTAGAATGTAGCTATGTGTCCATTACCAATCTTTATTTTAGTCGCTTACGTCACGAAGAATATAACAAAATTACGGCAAAAATAATAACGTTATTTCCGACCGAAACAATGGGAATATATTATGTACCAGCTGTCAGGAAAAATGCGTCCCTTACAGGAAAACCCACTCCAGCTAGAGGGAAGCTTGTTGACAAAGTTAAAAATATGGTCTTCAACTTCGACGAAGCCACACCAAAAAGAAGAAAACGAAAACACGTAGACACTTCCGACAACGAAGCATCTACGAGTAACGCCGCGCAGTTATCACTAAAATTTAAACAAGAATTAAGCAATAATGAAGATTGGCAGTGGATGAAACACAATAATGAGCCCTGGACAGAAGTTTTGATAAGATGGGACAATACATATAACCTACGTCATGACACTTTAAACAAATGTTCAAATGTTTATGAATTCCTTGAGAACTGGACCATACTACAAGATCAACGTGCAGATGTACTGGTAAGTTGTAGTAGATATAGTTCTGTTCTAGGCAAATACGTACTCATGCAATCCCCAGTTTTGTTGGAGCATATGGCCCATCATATGTCAAATACAATTTTTTTTTTCAGATTAACCAAGATTTCAAAAAGGCTTTTCCAGGAAAAGAAATTAATTTGTTTACGAAATGGAAAACGTTTTTTGAAACGGTTAACCAAGTAAAAGGCAGGCCCAACGAGGATTTAATCGAATTAGCGAATGAAGATACTGATGGTAAGTTCTAAAGCAATATTTTTAGAGCGCTAGCAATTACCATTCATAGTACGTACTGTGTGATAAGCCCTATAAAATAGTTATTTCTCATTCGTATTCATATGTCTTCACTTTCACTGTAGAGATCTCGTAAACCGTAAGGGAATATACAAAGTTATATGCAGAATTTTATGCTGATTAATACTACTATAGTTACAGCCCAAACCGAACTCGAGGATCGTTCGATATTCTGTTCTATCGAATTTTTTTGTATATAATTCTGAAATTTGATCCATGGAGGATGGAGTATCTCTTTTCAGTAACATTCAATGTACCTTTAGTAGTATACATGTCATGCCCATATTGGTGCTCTTCCTTAGCACACCATCCAGCAATATGAAGTACCTACTAGCATTTTCCCGCGACTTTGTACGCCTCTTGATCCCTTTTTGCTGTTACCGTGCCCTGTTCCCGTGAAAATTTCGGAAAGTACTTTCGGAGTAGGTACGTCTTAACGCCTTAAAAAAAATTACGTTCTAAATATCAAGTCTATTTTCCGCAGTTTCGACTGTAAAACGTAAAAGCCCTTTTGTCTCGTTTTCGTAGCCCGATTCCGTCTGAATTTCAGGACGTGCTTCCGGAGTACACCTTAACGCCTTAAAAGAAACCTAAGTTATAAATGTCAAGTCTCCATCTTCCACGCAGTTTCGACTATAAAACGTAAAATCCCGTTTTTTCCCGTTCTCGTAGGAATTTTGGGAAATCCTTTCCCTACAATTCCTAAGGAACCTACATGCCAAATTTCAACTTTATACGCCCAGTACTTTCGGCTGAGCGTTGTCTGTCAGTCAGTAACGGAAGTTTTACATGTATTATTTAAATTGTACCTGTACAATGTATTGGGCACGATAGGATATGTGTAGGAAAGGAGAAGATATTGTAAACAATCTAACATATTTAGAAAAAAAACGCGTTGAATTTAAAGAATATGGGTCATTAAAGTTTCAAAAATTCCACCTTCGACTTCAATGCACTTTCTAATTCTTTTGACTGTACTACGTGTAGCTCTTCGGAGGTCGTCTTGAGGTTCTTTTATGAGGGCAGCACGATCAATTCGTTTCTTGTGTTTACTTTGCCTTTGTAAACTTCGCCTTTCAACCATCCCCACAGGCAAAAATCTAAAGGGGTAAGATTCTGGGACCTTGGTGGCCAAGAAACGTGACCATTTCTGCCGATCCATTTTCCGGGAAATGTAACATTTAAATGCTGTGTCACAAGACGACTAGAATGAGCAGGGACCCCGTCATGCTGGAATTTTTGAAAATCAACTAATGACCCATATCTCAGTAACCAATAAAAATAAGACACCTGGTAATAGGACATTTTTTGTTCGCATTTGTCTATACTATCGCCCACTAATATTTACCTTTCCTCGTGAATGACCCTGTATAATGACGCGCTGCTTCTCACAAAATGTCAAAAGCATTAACCTTATTTAAATTTTTCAGACATTATTTTCCTTAAGCAGTTGTTAAAATTGCCCCATCTGATTCCACCGAAAGGGCGGATGGTAACGAAATCCCACAAACACTGGAAATATTCAACACTTGAAGTAATAGATGCAATAGTGGTCCTGGCAAAGGTTAGTATACTTATTAGCATACGATCGCTAACGATGTTACCGTCAAAAACTTGCCTGAACTGAGAGTGTAACAATTTTAGGAAATTTATTAAAACGTAATGTTACGCCTATGTTTGTAAAGATTGAATTTATCGAGCTTTTGGCGCGAGGATTTTCCAATGCATAGAATAGATTTTAAGAGAGCGGAAAGTAAAGTCCTATTCAGGCGCTCTCCAGATATCAAACATTTATAGACCGTTTGTTCAGTCTTATTTTTTTTTTTTTTTTTCACCCTCAAACTTGATATTCCATTTACAAACCGGAATGGGTTTACCTTCATTATTGGAAGAGTGTGTAGGTGCTCTGTGGTCGGTCGGAGATCTTAATTGATTAAACCTATTAATAAGATCGGCATCCGCAACATGATGAGCCGTAGAGGAAAATACTGGACTCTCATTATTGTGTCCTGCTACTTCTTTATTTGACTCAACATAATATTTAGGTTCGACAGTTGTCACTTGAGTTTGCTTTACCGCATATATTAATTTATTTATGCTTTGATTAATTAATTCGGCTACATCATTAGCCTGCAACGCATCCCCCTCATTGATCAACATTAATTCATCGCTTAACAAATTATTTACGACATACATTTCAATAGATATCAAAATAGTTACAACGTGATATGCAATCTATAGCGAGTTCGTGGATTCGGCCTTCACGTTTGTGCGCCACTTTTTGCGCTTACTTTACCCTTAATTAGTTCTAATAACGGTGCTGCCTCGGTAGAGAAATTTTTTATAAACCTTTGATACCAACCGCACATCCAGGGCACTAAATTTAAAGTAGTAACGGATCATTATTCATTAATTTGGTTAAAAAACTTAAAAGATCCTGTGGGGAGATTAGCACGGTGGAGTTTAAAAATGCAACAGTACGATTTTGAAATATTGCATAGGAGCGGGAAATTAAATGTAGTTCCCGATGCTTTATCACGGGCACCTATTCAAATTGAGTTGTTAGAACTAAAAAATCCAATCGAGGACAAATGGTATAAAAGAATGTTATCTCTAGTTACGGAGCAACCAGGACTTTATCCTGGGTGGTTAGTTAAAGATGGTCAATTGTTTAAATATGTGCCAAACAGACACGATATCATTTCCAATACAATTGAGTGGAAATGGGTAGTTCCAAAAGACAATAGAGATGAGTTAATCAAACGACATCATGACAACCCAACTTCGGCACACTTTGGCATTTTTAAAACTTGCGCAAAATTAGGAGAGAGGTATTACTGGCCTAAAATGAAATGTGACATTACTCGATACATTAATCACTGCGATGTTTGCTTAGCGAGCAAGGCTGATAATCAACGCCGTCCTGGGTTTATGGGTCAACAAAAACGAGTAAGATTTCCTTTTCAATTAATATCTATAGATTTAATGGGCCCTTTTCCCCGAAGTACGAAAGGAAACTCTTATCTCTTAGTAATATCCGATTGGTTTACTAAGTACGTAATTATACACCCTCTACGGAAAGCTACTACCCAACAAATTGTAAATTTTCTTGAAAATGAAGTTTTTTTAGTACATGGAGTGCCTCAAATAATTATGTGTGACAACGGCCCTCAATTTGTTAGTTCCGTTTTTAAAAAATTAATTAAAACCTACAAGGTACAAAAAGTATGGTACAACGCACTTTTTCATGCTCAGGTAAACCCGGTAGAGAGGGTAAACCGTACAGTCGGTACAGCCATACGATCTTATATAAAAGATAATCACAAGTCTTGGGATGTGGAAATATATAAAATAGCACATGCAATCCGTAATTCGGTGCATGAAGTCACGGGATTTACACCCGCGTTTTTAAATTTTGGTAGGTCTATCCCAGTAAGCGGGGATTACTACGGGAAGTTAGAGGAAGAGGGTGAATTTCCGTTAACTATAGAAAGCAGGGAACAATTAGTGAGGGATGTAAACGAGTTGGATCAGTTGCACCAGGAGGTAGTGGAAAAACTGAAATGGGCATATGAAAAAAATCAAAATCAATATAATTTAAGGAAAAGAATTTTTAAAAAAAAGACTGAACAAACGGTCTATAAATGTTTGATATCTGGAGAGCGCCTGAATAGGACTTTACTTTCCGCTCTCTTAAAATCGATTCTATGCATTGGAAAATCCTCGCGCCAAAAGCTCGATAAATTCAATCTTTACAAACATAGGCGTAACATTACGTTTTAATAAATTTCCTAAAATTGTTACAAGAGATCTTGAATTCTTTTTAGATTTTATGCGATAATTCTTACATAATAACTGCAATAATTTTAAAGATCGCCACTTCACAATTCTTACATTTTAGTAGCACTCACTATATCATGGGTTTCAACATGTTATTCTGAATATTTCTAATTTGTAGATACCTGGAGACATAACAAAAGTTGTAGAGGAAAGACGGCAGCTGGCTGCATCTCGAAACCTAACCCTAACCCTTTTTTGCTGATAGAAGGATCCTCATTTGATCGCCCAGAAAATTTTTACATCATTTTGGACAAGGTTTTTTTACACATGAATAGTGAACAAAAGGCGTTTGACGCTCTTTTTAAGCTTTTCCACGTTTTTAACGCGCAGTATCCAGTACAGGCCCAATATATTTACACTCTTATACAGCAGTGCGTTTATAATATTGTTTTAGATTGTGACGCTTTGCCACCATATACCTTGGATATTGTAAACAAACTACGCGTTGTTAATGTATTAGATATACCAGAAGTTTAATATAACTATTACCCGTATTGTCAATTAAAGAGTAAATCTTATAAAATTTCCATTTAGGAGCTTCTATATTACATACAGAGCGTGCAGTACTTACACTACCAAATGAAGTGTGAAAGGTGTGGAAAAGACTATAGTAATTTTAAGAAATATTTCTTTCATCTTGAATATCTTCATAACATAACAAATCGTTTTGTTTGCCCAAAAACAAATTGTTATCGTGTGTTTCATACAAAACTATCTCTGAAGAAACATTTTAATAATGCTCACGAACACTTGACCACTGTTCTTGATCCCGCTTCTCCCTCTCTCTCTATTCAGGGTTCTGTACTGGCAGAAGAAGATCATTTGGATAGTTGTAATCCTAAAAGTGACCAACCAAATACCGAAGGTGAAAGAGTAGACAGTAACAAAATTTTCAATAAAACAATATATTCGGTAAATTACGTAGAAGAATTTCAAACTGCAATCTTAGCAGTGTTCAAAAAATTTATCTCTGCATTATATGACAATCTATCATTACCAAGAAATGCTATACAGGATCTCATTCTGTCTGTTCAAAGTTTACTACATATATATCTGTAGAACTGTTCAAAGAATTATTTGAAACTTTTTGTTCAAATGTAGTGCCTCCAAATGAATTTTCCGTTTTGAGTCAAATGCTGAACATTCTAAGCAATATTTTTAATACAGTCGACACGGAGTATAAAAGATTTTCATTTTTTGAAAAATCTGGCAATTTGATTAAACCCATTGAATATAAAATAGGAAACACTACAGAAGACAAAAGAATTGATGGTAAGACAGTATTAACATTAAAAAATAAAATAGGTTATTATGTTCCAATAAAAGAAACATTAAAGCGATTTTTAAATTTGCCTAACGTTTATAAATGTATACTAGACTATCAAATGACTTTGATTCAGAATTATACAGAAACTAACACTTTATCTAACTTAATACATGGCAGTGTATACCAAAATTTACTAAAGTCTCAAACGGAAAATAAAATAATATTTCCACTATTGCTATATTTTGATGATTTTGAAAGTGGAAATCCCCTTGGAAGTAAAGCGGGAAACTACAAGATAGGAGCATTATATTACACAATTGCAACAATTCCTCCAATTTATTTAGCAAGGTTAGAAAACATATTTTTGTCTACCATTTTTTATACTGGAGATAGGGCCCAATTTGGAAACACATCGACATTTGGTAATTTAATTGATGAACTTAAAAATCTTGAAGCAAATGGAATTACTATAAGCACTGAATCAGGCATTGATCATGTATACTTTTCAGTTATTTGTATAATTGGTGATAATTTAGGACTGCATACCATCTTAGGTTGCGTGGAAAGTTTCTCTGCAGCATCGTATTGTCGTTTTTGTACAACAATACGAACAGATGCTGAAACACAAACTGTTGAAAACCAATATTCCGTTCGAGATGTTAAGGATTACGACAATCACTTATTGCAAAATGTGGGCTTAAAAGAACATTGTATTTTTAATCAACTTGGTACCTTTCACATTTACAATAACTTATCATGTGATATTATGCACGACTTATACGAAGGCGTACATAGGTATGACATGGCATTAATTACATCTCATCTTATAGCTTCTGGATATTTCACCCTAGATTTATTTAACTCTAGAGTACAATATCATACTTATGAACGATTTGAGAAAAATATTCCTCCGGTAGTTAAAAAACAGCACTTAGATAAAGGAAGTATAATTTTTTCGGCCTCAGAAATGAAAACATTTGTAGAAAATTATAGGTTTTATGTTGGCGATTTAGTTCCCGAAGGTAACCCAATTTGGAATTTTTATTTAAATTTGTTGGAAATAACTCACATCGTCTGTAGTCCAACAATGTCCTCTGCAACCATGGAGTTATTGAACCATAAGGTGGAAGAACATCATTCACTATATTTATCGCTATTTAATAAAACACTGAAACCTAAGCACCATTTTCTCTTACATTACAGTCGAGTAATATCGAAGATGGGACCTCCTATATTCTTATCTAGCATGAGATTTGAAGGAAAACACCGAGATTTTAAATCAACATGTCACTATTCAAGGTGTACTAAAAATGTACCGTTGACTTTAGCTATGAGAATGCAGCTTAAAAATTGCTACCGATTTATGTCAGAGAAGGGACTTATCGACATTGAAATACAAGGTCCAGTCAATGAATTTCCCTCCTTAAGTTCGTCAATCAATATCGTTAAACAAGATTTTTTTTGTGTTGATTGGTATGAAATAAACGGAATTAGATATGAATGTAATAAGAGCGTGTTACTCTATGAAAGTACCATAGAAGCTCCTAAATTTTGTATGATTCGAAATATATTAATCAATAAATTGGAATCAAAGTCTATATCATTCTATTGTCAAGAGTTACTGAACCAGCGTTACAGTAATCATTTTCAAGCATATGAAGTTAAATCGAAAGCTGCCTATCTCTTGGTTGGCTTAACACGTTAACTGCCATACGACGACCGGGCCGTCGTATTATGTTTGGAGTCTAAATGAGGTTTCAAATGTGCTGGCTTCCCAACTGTCGATGCTAAACACTTTGGTTGGCCCACAGAAATGATTCACAGCGAATTGCAATAGTACGACCGCCGGTTGTCGTAACGGCTTGATAGGGATAACAATAAATAAGCAATTGTTAAAAATAAGTTTTATTCATAATAAACAACCAAAGATACTGTTCTTATTAACTTAAAAATAAAATAACAAACAAAACATAATAAAAAAATCACTTTTAAAGTTTGTTTTAGTTTTCTAAATGAATTTTAACAAAACAATTTGAACACATTGCAGGTTTTTCTGGGCAGTGGCCGCAGTAAGTTGTCACTCTGGGTGTCACTGATGCTTTATCTGCTTCACGACTTCCTTTTTCTTCGCGATTTTTTGCGTAACATGGTCCGCAACGTTTTCTAATTTTTCGGTTTCTGTGGTCTACTTCTTCAATTACCTCTAATTTGTGCTTCGTTGTAGTGAAGTTCACATTTTCACGTTTGTCTGTAAGTTCGAGTAAGCTTTCAACCAATGATTCTTTGAAAGAAGTAACAGATATTTTCTTTTTGCAAATAGTATTGTAAATTATGCGAGCGTTAATTACAGATGTACCGAAAATGAGTTCCATTGCCACTTTGTGATACCATTTCACAGACTTTCGCACCACACTCGAGTAGCTTGACAATTGATCCGATAAATCAATTCCTGCTTTCCCTGCGTTATAATCTTGCACTATTGTCGGTTTTCTAATATCTTCTTTTTTTCTATTTTGTTTTCCTGTACCAGTAATTTCTATTGTATGCTTTGTTGATAGCATAAGCACGTCGCGCTTATCTTTCCACTTCACTATTGAGATACCTCTGCCATTATGCATTCCGGTAATTTCGTTTCTATTCAACTTTTTGTTTACAACTTCCTTTGGTATGCCCCTTCGATTTCGTCTTAGAGTCCCGGTTAAGTGAGTATTTTTATCTAATAAATGATTGGCTAATCCCACAGATGTATAAAAATTATCTGTGATGAATATACGTCCTTGACCTAAATATTTTTCGCCTAATTTGAGGACTACGTTTGTGGATAATGAGTCACTCTTCAACATTTTGTCACTTTTCCCTTCATAAACTTGAATGCCGTAAGTGTATCCTGCAGTATCGCAAATTTTAAATAATTTAACACCATACTTATGCCGTTTGCCAGGAATATATTGGCGAAAAGGCAGTCGTCCTCTAAATGGCACCATGGTCTCATCAACACAGAGGAACTCTCCAGGTATCTTATGGTGTTGGAATAAGGATTCAAGTTTATTTTTCAAAGAAGTTATTTTGTGAAGGCGGTCACCATGAGCTTCTTCATTATTAGCAAAATGCCACATAGTCAGCATTATTTCAAATCTGTTACGTGACATTGTTTTTGAAGCAACATTGTTTTTGTATATAATTCTGGTGCTCCAGTAGTCACTCAGTTTTGGATATCGAACTAGTCCCATCCACAGGAGGAGTCCAAAAAATTTCTTCATTTCGTTTGAATCTGTATTTTTCCATTGGTTTAATCGACTATGTCTACTGATTGTTTTGGACACTAAGTGGGCGGCCATAACGAAGCACCGCACTTAGCATTGTACCTTAGCATCCGTGTGCTAAGCAAATTTAACTATTGAATTCAATGCGTGCGGCCATACCGGCGCACCGCCCCTCGCTTCGCATCGCCCTTGTACATAGGTGCATCGCACAGTAAATTGAGCTTAGTATTTTTCGGAGCCTCGCACATGGTCGTTTGTTTTGTTTTAAAAATTATTAGCGGGATGGATAAGGATAAATTAATTACCAGTGTGTTTACCAGGGAGGCGATCTGGAGCAAAAATAGTAGAAATCATCATAATTCGATATTATTATCGAAGTTGTGGAAAGAGGTGGCTGAGGAATGCAATACAACAGGTAAATATAAGTTTATTTATTTATAAAAAGGATGGTACATATTAAGTTTTACGGATTATTACATAAATAAGCTTTAAAATTATCTCGTACTACTTTTGCTTCATTATTAAGTCTTCCTGCGGGTGCTTGTCTATTTTCGTTTTGAAAGACAAATTGAGTTTCTTTCAAATTATGTTCTATTCCTTCTTTATCAATAATTACATTATGTAAAATGCAAATTGCCTTAATAATGTTATCTGCATGTCCAGGATGGGTCAATATAGGTTTATCTAAAATTTGCCATTTTGATCTCAGAATTCCAAAGGCACATTCCACAGTTCGTCTCGCACAGGACAAACGTTTATTAAAATATTCCTTATCTGCATTTAATTCTTGTTTTCTATATGGTTTAAGTAAATGCTTCATTAGTGGGTATGCTTCGTCGGCTATTATTACATGTGGCATAATTAAATCGGAATTTGGAAAAGCTGTATCTCCAGGCAAATTAAGGGTTTGTGTGGTCAATTTTTTATATAAAGCAGAAGCTTGAAATGTACCACCATCGCTCTGTTTGCCATAACCGCCAACGTCAATATTGATAAACTTGTAGTTTGCATCAACAAGTGCTTGAAGTACAATTGAAAAGAAACCTTTATAATTAAAATACATTGATCCAGAATTATTTGGGCAATGCATACGGATGTGTTTACCGTCTAGCGCTCCAACACAGTTGGGAAAGTTCCAAATTTCGTAGAAGTCTATTGCTATTTTTCTAAAATCTTCTTGAGATGGAACAGGCATGAATTTCATATAAAGAGATCCAAATGTGTTCTGAAATTTCCGAAACAATATTTGCTACTGTAGTTTTACCCATTCGAAATGAGAAAGCTAAGCTTCTAAATGAAATACCAGTGGAGAAATATCTGAAAGAAAAAAATATATATATATGTACA